CGGAATCTTATGACCGGCTTTTGTAGACATTTAAGGGGTGGTTTCTATTCACTTTGAAGCAACCTACGTCATCTTCTGAAACCTCACAATCATCCTAACCTACACGAGTCGAAAAGCAAGTAGGTCCACGTATGATCAAGCAATGTCGTTAGCCTAAAAGGTGGGTAGCTTGAACTGAGACCTATTCCACTAGCTAGGGTTGGACGAACAACAACCACTGGCAGGATACCTTTGGTCCCCTCGCCTTCTTCAGTCATCTTGGTGCCGAGAGGTGAGAGGACATCAGATCGTCAAGAATCATATGGTCTTCGTCAACATCTACAGGTGCTCGTTGTATGTTTGCGAAGAAAAACATTACATTCTTTATTTGGCGATTCCATGGAGCCAAAAAGGTTTGTGTCCTTGCAGAGTCGATTATTCAGATCGACTGAGTTTATTTTAGTGCGCCATGTTGCTTTTGCTGCTTTGATTCTTCGTGGAGTTAAAATCTTCCATCAACAATATAGTGAGGATCTTGCGGTTCGACGTCTTGCACTTCTAGGGAATCATCCCCAGCCCAAGTATGTTCACCATTTATGGTTTCCCATCTTTTTAGACGGGCGACTCAAGGGGCTCTCAGAAACATTTATTGATAACCAAGTTTGTGCGGGTAAACGAGCGGCGATATCGTTGCTCCGCTTCAATTGCACTCTCTTTACTGAAAGTCTTGGCACTATTTCATCTTGCAAAGATTGATACCATATAAAAGAGATTTTATTGTAATTCTTAGTTGTACGAGTTACTTCGTAATTTGTTGTATCTTGGATCCAAAGCATTGGACCTGCAATATTGGCCAGTGTGAATGAAACTCTAGGTATTTCTCATAAAAACATGTGTGCAAATAGCTATGTGGGGTAAGTGTGTATTAAAATAAAAAAGGTTAGTAATGGAACTTCAATAATATCACAACTTCAACACATAGAGTGCAAAAACAACACCACAAATGATGTATAATACTCTTTTTCTAAAAATGCATTTGATACGGTCTGAAAACTTTTAATTACCATGATAAACATTTAGTAAATACATGATAACAGGTTTTAATACATGATAACTACCTTTTCATACACTACAAATAAAACATAAAATTTTAATAAATTTCAAATATTCTTTTAATAAGTCATGAACATTTTCTAATACACTGTAACATTTTTAAGACACATGGTGAATATACTTTTAATACACGACAAACATTTTCATATACATGATGAACCCTTTTAACACATGGTGAACATTTTTTAGATCCATGATGAATATTGACACAATAAATATTTTACTACATGGCAAATCTTTTTTTCATAAAGGATGATTTTTTAGTTGACGAATATTTTGAAGTACGAGAAGAATAGATTTAATTAAGTGGCAACTTTTTTAATTCTTGACGAATAATTTTTTGAAACACAATGGCCATTTTATTAAATATTAAGCATTTCTAATACATAATGAACATTTTAAAAGTACATGGTGGACCTTTTCAGTAAAATGTAAATAAACCAGTTTTTAGTACACGATGAACACTAATTAATACACAAGGAATTTTTAATACAAAGAAGAACATTTTAAATAAGCCATAAACATTTTTAATACACAATAGGCAATAAATATATTTTTAATATACACCATAATTTTCTTGGTTACACCATTAACATTTTAAAACACATGGCAAAACCAATTTTTTTAAATGGCACATATATTTAAGTAGCTGATGAAGAAAAATAACCAGAAGAAATGAAAGAAAAATAGGAACAAGGAAAAGGGGAAACTAAACAAAAAAGAAGAAGAGAAATAAAAAAATGAGGAAAAAGAAAGGAACAAAATAAAAAATGCAGAGCCCCCAAACAAAAAAATAGATAAGGAACAGATAGAAACACCAAAAAACCAAACCAGCCTGGTTCACGGAAAACATTTAGTAAACAGCGTTAAATACCTATACAGAGAATAGATGGTGAAAAGTCACCAATTATTTGCCCGGTTTTCCCTAGGTTTTAGAGATTTTTTGCACCGTTTTCTCGCGCGAAAAATAATGCTTCCATGAGAAGCACAAATATCCTTCTCCGGGAGACACAGATTTGCTTCAGGGGAGAAGTTTTTTAAAAAAAAATAGATAATAATGTGAAAACTTATCTGCATTATTTTAGAATCAATGAACATTTTTTAGTTTCATGTTTTATTTTGAAATTTGCACATGACCATTTTTTTCTAATATTTTTTTGAAAAACATGTACACCTTTTAGATTTCTGAACATTTCTGAAATTCACTTTGAAATACATGCAAAATTTTAAATTCATTATTTTGTTTCAAATCTAGCAAAGATGCCTACACAATACTTATGATAAAGTTGAGAGACGTGAAGGTCATTAAGGTGAAGGGAAATGACATTCACATGTTAATTAGCAAAGATGACAGCACAATACGTACTCTATGTAAGCTTAATTCACAATCCTCTTTTTTTTACAAACACGTGTAATTTTATTCATACTCATAACAATTATAGGTACACTGTTTTGGATCGAAAATCTAAGAAAATCGAAAATCTATTGGAAACACCTTCTTCGTGGTAGAATTCTTTCACCCGCACGAACATTACCAATAATGGTTTTTGAAAACTGCCTTGAGTCGCCATCCAAAAAGACGAGAACCTTCTGTAGTTCTGTGTCATGAGGCATTGGCCGTAGTTATGTTATGTACAGAGAAAACTCAGCCCGCGCCGCATGCATCGGTGTACTAACAGGTCGGGCTTGTGGATGGATCGACAAATTGTAGTGATATGTGCTATGTGCTATACAATGGATGCCACTATGTCTGGCTTAAAGCGAGACAACGGGCGCCTGGAACCATCACGTAAGAACAGCACTAGATGGGCCGGCCCATTAAGTCTTGTTTATTTTTCCTGTTTTTATCTTCACATTTTTTGTTTTCATTTTCTAGATTTCTTTTTCTAATTTTGTTTACACTTATCAAAACCTAAAAATATATATTGCAAAATAATAATATAGTAAGTGATCTGAAAATTCTAATCGTGCAATTGAGAAATATTAAATATATATAGAAAATGTTAATCAAGTATTTGAAAAATGTTAATAAAGCATTGCAAAAAATGTTAAATGTGCATAGTAACAATGTTGACCATGTATTAAAAAATATTAATCTTGTACATGAAAATTTTAATTAAATATTAGGAAAAATTTTAATGTGTATAGAAAAAATGTTGATTGTGCATTAAGAAAGTGTTAATATTTTAATCAAAAATATTAATAAATCTTTTGAAAACTGTTTAAAATGTGTATAGAATTTTTTTACCATGTATTCAAAAAATATAAATGTTGTATTAAAAATGATTATCTTGTATTTAATAATGGTACACGTGTCTTAGAGAAATGTATTATATATACCAAAATGTAAAATGTGCATGGAAAAAGGTAGACACAAAAAATATATGTTTTCAAAAAATGTTTCTTATGCATTTGAAAATATTAATATTTTTTATGTATACAAAAAGTGTTGAATTTGTAGTAAAAAACTTAACATGTGTTGGAGAAAAAAGTAAACCAATGAAAATCAAATAGGAAACCTATGGAAAAAAAACATTTCAAAAACAAAAGAAAATGAAAAACCAAAAACACAGCGCAAAAATGGAAATAGATAAAACTGATGAAACCAAGAAATAAACAAAGAAAATGAATCAAAAGAAAACCTTAAAAAACCAGAATATAGAAAGAAACAAATAAAAGCAAATAGCCGATGAAAACCAAAAAAGATATGAAGAAAACCAATGAAAAAGAAAATAAAATTTGAACAAAAAATAATAGCAAAGAAAAAATAGTAATAACCGAGTAGAAGTAAAGGAAAAACAACGAAAATACAATAAAACCAAAAAAAGAAACATGGAAATAAAAACCAAGAAAACAATGCAAAAGAATGAAAAAATAGTAAAAATCAATAAATAAAGAAAAAACAAAGAAGACCCGAAAAACCAGGAAAGAAAGAAAGAAAATCGAAGAAAACTGAAGAAACTAAGAAATAAAGAAATACCAGTGAAAATCAAGAAAGAAACAAAAAACATAATGAAAATGAAGAAAAAGAAAAGAAAAGCCAGTAAAACCATTAAAGAAGCAAAGAAAACCATTGAAAGAATAAAGAAAACTATTGAAAGAATAAAGAAAACCATTAAAGAGGCCGAAGAAGGGGAGGAAAACCCACGCTCGCATCGGGGAACTGCGGGAGCTCTTTCTTTGCCCAGAGGCTAACTTGAACGACTCCAAACCTTTAGCATTATCTTTGCAAGTACAACGTTGGAGTCATGTTGTTTTCTGACACTTTGTATGGAAGATTTTTTTTCCCAATTTCTCTATTTTTAGTCACCCCTTCTTTTAGGGGGCAAAAAATAAGGTTAATAGTGTATCCATTGATTAAATGACAAAGTTTATGGGCCTCTGGCGGGCTAAATTGAATTTTGGTCTGACCTAATCGTGGGCTCGCGGCTTGATTCACTTCGCCGCGTGAGAGATGTGAAGGGGAAGGGCTACACGACAATTGGCAAAGGGAGTGTATCACCAGGGTGGAAGTGCAAGCAACGTACATCTAGCCATGCATGGTCAACACGCGCAAGACGAGCAGAGCCAAAATTGTATCCATGCTACTGGCTGGCAGGGAATTTAAGAGCGTTGCTATAGGACAACGAACAACTCACAACACGCACAAAGCAAGCTCTCTCTCGCTGTCTATCCCTTGTAGCTACCGACTCGAACCACCATATTTATTTGGTTTACGTGCAAGTTTTTTCCTTTTTAGTTTTCTCCCAACCCTTTCCCCCTATTTATTCCAATGCCTCCCCTTGTTTTGCAGCTTCACAGGCAACAGATGTGTTAACTACTCTGATCATTGTGTATGCAATTTCCCCTCTCTTTCCTCTCCGCCTTCCAGATCTCTCATCGTATCCAACTCTTCCCCTCTAGACGGCATGATCTACCCACAGAGAGCCACATGTTTTCTCGTCATTGCCGTCCTCATCCTCCTCCTACCACTGATGTCTTCCTATCTATGCATGGCTGCCGCACATGACCCACTGCATCATGCTCCAGGTATATCTATATGCGCAATTGAGTTCCCTTTGGATGTTTCCAAATCCTGGATTTGTTGTTCATATGTATGGATGTGTGTGTTGATGTAATTACTATGATGATGCTAGGTGGCGACATTGGTGTGTGGGGTCGTTCAGATGGGCTGCATCATGAAGGGGGAAAGGTGTTTGGGATGGGGACTGCGAGGCGCTTGGGGCAGAGGATACCGATGAAGAACCCTCCCTCACCAGTCCCCAACGAAAACATGGGGGTGGTGTTACCCCTGACACCACCACCACCATCGTTGATCAATAAACAAGTGTTGGAGGTCCGGGATACGAGCATGCCATGGTGACTTTAGTGCACCTCCTTGCCTGTTGTTGTTGTTGTTGTTGTGTTACGAGAATAATTTCACTATTGTGAAATAAGTTGGCATGCTTCAAAGTGTTAAAATATACTGTTCGCTTATGTATACCAATTTGGACTTTTGAGAGAATGGTGGAAATATAATTTTATTATAGTCGGAGTCAAGTGGTCTCAAGCTTAAGAACTGGTCGATGAGCTACTAATAAATTAGTAGTAGTATACATACATAACTTTTCTAAGTGGAACTATTATTTTGCTATTGATGAAAATTAAACTAAAGGCATGTTAAGCTATTTACAATAGCACACACCCCAATGAACTATTTGTCCAGTTTAGCTATCTTAGGCCTCTAAGCAAACCCAGATCATTCGTGCTTCTTCCTTAATTCTATTTTCCTTCCAATATATGCATTAACTGAAGAGGAGATTGGCCATACATGTGACCCACTATGGATCTCTACGGGAAAGTCATATTTATTAGGCAATAGAGCGATGTGTGGGCCTTAACGATAATTAATGGACCAAAATTGGTGTGGTTAAAGAGGAAATTTTGGATGCCTTGGTCCTTCCTATTTGGCCACTTAAATAAACCCAAATATATATGATCATTTATTTCTCCGTTTGCACATCAATTTATTTCAATTTTTATGCTTAGTTAAGCATTGTCATCCAAACATGCATTCCAGTGTACCTTGGACGGATCTATCAAACAACTAAACATAACCATAATTTGTGCCAAAAGGCGATGTGAATAAGTCCATTCCAAAAAACCACCAACACATGATGGACCAAATGCCATCATAGTTCACAAGGGCTTCACGCACTCGCGTTGTCAGCGGCGACACCACTATTGTCGTCACCACCATTGCTGCTACCAGCACATATCTTAGCCAAGATGTCGCCATGATTAAACTCCCAATATTTCCTTGCCTTCTCGTCCATCTTACTAGGATCCATCCACATGGTTGCATGTTCCTCGGCCACCCTCTTATTCCTTTTCTCCTCGGCCGCCAATGCAACTTTTGTTCCTGACTCTCAATCTTTTTGTTCTCCGCAACCTTAATTTCAAGGCTTGTCAACTAAAGTTCAAGTTTTTATTTTCTTCCACTAGCACCTTTATCTCCTCGGTTATCACATTTTCCTTCTATTTTGTCTCCTCCATCAATTTCATCTCAGAGAAACAAGTCATCTTCTCCTCCTCCCGATCGGCCACCAGTGCCCTTTTAACATCCACCATCGCAATCAACTCTTCCTTGTATGCTCCAACACAACCATTATTCATGCTTTGCAATTTTCAATCCATCCGGACACACATGAGGAGTGGATGGATTATCTACCAAATCATCATCATCAACACTGGTGTTGAGCCTTTGCCTCTTCTGTGTGGTTTCAAGGTTTCTTATTGTCCACTTGTCATGTACATCAAGCTCCGTGTAACAATGATGCAAAGTAAATGCTTTTGAGTCGTTTCTCTTGTTCCTCTCTGATACGTCTCCAACGTATCTATAATTTTTGATTGCTCCATGCTATATTATCTACTGTTTTAGGCAATATTGGGCTTTATTATCCACTTTTATATTATTTTTGGGACTAACCTATTAACCGGAGGCCCAGCCCAGATATGCTGTTTTATGCCTATTTCAGTGTTTTGAAGAAAAGGAATATTAGACGGAGTCGAAACGGAACGAAATCAACTGGAGAAGTTATTTTTGGAAGGAAACACACCTGATGGACTTGGACCCCACGTCAGAAGATACGGGAGCTGCCCACGAGGGTGGGGGGCGCGCCCACCCCCCTAGGGCGCGCCCCCTGCCTTGTGGGGCCCCCGTGGCTCCCCTGACGTGCTTCTTCTGCCTATATAAGTCCATATACCCTGAAACTTCCAGAATGCAACATAGATCGGGAGTTCCGCCGCCAGAAGCCTCCGTAGCCACCAAAAGTCAATCGGGACCCTATTCCGGCACCCTGCCGGAGGGGGGAACCCTCACCGGTGGCCATCTTCATCATCCCGGTGCTCTCCATGACGAGGAGGGAGTAGTTCTCCCTCGGGGCTGAGGGTATGTACCAGTAGCTATGTGTTTGATCTCTCTCTCGTGTTCTTGATTTGGCACGATCTTGATGTATCGTGAGCTTTGCTATTATAGTTGGATCTTATGTTTCTCCTCCTCCTCTTCTCTCTTGTAATGAATTGAGCATCCCCTTTGGAGTTATCTTATCGGATTGAGTCTTTAAAGACTTGAGAACACTTGATGTATGTCTTGCTGTGGATATCTGTGGTGACAATGGGAAACCACGTGCCACTTGATGTATGTCTTGGTGATAAACTTGCGGGTTTCGTGACATTGGGAACCTATGCATAGGGGTTGGCAGACGTTATCGTCGTGATTCTCCGATAGAAACTTTGGGGCACTCTTTGAGGTCCTTTGTGTTGGTTGAATAGATGAATCTGAGATTGTGTGATGCATATCGTATAATCATACCCACGGATACTTTAGGTGACATTGGAGTATCTAGGTGACATTAGGGTTTTGGTTGATTTGTGTTTTAAGGTGTTATTCTAGTACGAACTCTAGGGCTGTTTGTGACACTTATAGGAATAGCCTAACGGATTGATTGGAAAGAATAACTTTGAGGTGGTTTCGTACCCTACCATAATCTCCTCGTTCGTTCTCCGCTATTAGTGACTTTGGAGTGACTCTTTGTTGCATGTTGAGGGATAGTTATGTGATCCAATTATGTTAGTATTGTTGAGGGAACTTACACTAGCGAAAGTATTAACCCTAGGCCTTATTTCCACACATTGCAATACCGTTTACGCTCACTTTTACCATTAGTTACCTTGCTGTTTTTATAATTTCATATTACAAATACTATTATCTACTATCCATATACCCCTTGTATCACCACACTACTAGGGAAAACCTTATACACAGAAATTTAGCAACAGCGCAGGTTAAAAAAGGGCGCTAGTGCTAGATAGCAGTAGCGGTTCAGAATAAACCGCACTGCAGATACGATTCTAGCAGTAGCGCGTGTGCCCGTAAAAGTGCTACTCTAATATTCCCATTGCTGGAACGATGGGCTACGCATAGCAGTAGCGGCCTTGCAGGAAGCGCGCTACCGCTAGGACATGAGTAGCAGCGTGTTTCCCTGTAACAGTGCTACTGCTAATGGAAATAAAATAAAATGAAAAGTAAATGAAAATAAAAGAAACAGAAAAAGGAGAAAGAAAAAAATAAAATGTAAAGCAAAATAAATGAAAAAGCGAAAAAATAGAGAAAGGCTTAGCTGTAGCGTGTGTTAGTAAGAGGCGCTGTAGCTAACGCAGCTGCAGCGCGTTTCCAGGACCCCCGCTATAGAAATAGAAAAGAAAATAAAAAGAGAGAAAATTACATATGTATAGCAGTAGCGCGTTTTGGAAAAAGTGCTATAGCTACCTTAGCTATAGCGCGTTCTACGAAATGCACTACCGCTAGTTTTGACTTAACCAAAAAACCATCCCCCCCGCCACCACTTGCCCCCAAATCTCTCGACCCACCCCGCCGCCGTCTCCCCGATTCGTCGTCGCCCCACTTCGCCGCTGTCTCCTGCCGACGTCGACGCCCCCGAAGCCACCAGAGCCGTGCGCCGTCGACGCCATCGGAGCCGCCCCCAACACCACGGAGCCACGCAACCTCATCAACGCCACCGGATCCTCCCTCGCCACAACTGCCTCCCTCGCCGTCACCGGAGACGCCCCTGCCTCCCTCGCCACCACCGGAGCCATCCTCTGTAAGCCCCCACCCCTCCTCTCTCTCATGCATAGGTTAGCTAGTTTAATTATGTTAATTATGTAGGTTAGGGAAAAAATTTAGTTAGGGCTTTGACAGAGAAGTAGTTAGGTTAACTAGTTTAATTACCTAGGTTAGTGCAAAAATTTAGTTAGGGCTTTGACAGAGAACTAGTCAGGTTAACTAGTTTAATTAGGTTAATTATCTAGGTTATTTAGGCAAGTTTTATTTTAAAGATGATCCCTTCCTAGACTTTTATTGTTGATTATATCTTTTCATTGAAGTGGTCATGTTGTTTGTGCCCAAGTGGCTTTGTTGTTTGAATGAAGCTGAGTGGCCTATATATGTTTTGCCGGAATGTTGATTCATTTCCGTTCTGGCAAATTTCAGGTTCTCGATTTGTCCACTTTTTAGCAAAGGTCATGCCGAAATTTTCTGTGAATTTCGGCATGTCTTGTGCTACAAACTAGGACATATCGAGTGCCCGGGATTTGCCGCACCAGGAAGGAGTCAACGTTCCTACAAAACATAGGCCTTTTGTATGTCATTATTCATTTTATTAGGTCTAGAATTAATTTACTAGATTTAATCGTAGGAAACATGGCTAGCAACGATGAAGGACAGGGTTGAAACGAATCATATGCGGATGCGGCTCAAATGAGTTAGGGTTCATGTAAGGGTGTGGAAACGAATCAAATTTCTAAGATGAATCATAAAACGAGTAAAATTTGACCACTTATTTCACTTTATAGTTGGATAATTTGAATATCCGCTACCACTTTCCACCCCTAGGTTTATCAAATTAGATGGTAATTAGGGTAGTAGTTCCTAGGTACTAATTAGTTAGTAAGAACTTGTTGCTATTTTTATTTATAGTAAGTTTATTTTTAGTAAGAACTAGTTGAATTAATAGAACTAGTTAGTAAGAACTTGTTGCTATTTTTTTAGTTAAAGCAATTTTTCTCGCATCGACATGGACGATGCCTATCCCGCATCCTCGTCGTCGAGTCGGCGGAGGACGACACCTGCTTGACCAGATGGGCCATGTCTGGGACTGGGCTCCGCCGGGGTGGTACTGGGAGGCGCTACCAACGGGGGGGGCGCATGTTGGTGAGGAGCTAGCCTGTCGTTGACCCGAACCTTCTTTGGTGGCGGTCGCATGGACCAGTGACGGTCCAGAGGCTCGAGGACTCCGTGGAGGTGGTGCGTCACCGTGTCAG